CAAGATGGAGTCTCTTCTGTGCCCTTCTGTCTTTGCTCTGGCTAGAGCAGCCCTTGGAGCCAGAAGGGGGCGTTGAAAGGATATCCATGTCCTTTCAACGTAACTGGAACTGATTACCTCAATAGCTATGAGAGTGTGGCCTAACTTAAATGGGAGAAGTGGAATATCTCTTTGCTCAAGCGTTGACATATGAAGTGCTTTGTGCTCCATTGTGAGAAGATTGATAAGAGGGAAGCCTGTTTTGTTCCACAGGCTAACAGATCATAGCACTCAAATTTTTCAAAGAGTAACTAAAAGTAACTATAGGTATACTTTTAAACTGCAACTGTAACAGTAACTAAACATTGGCATAGTGTTTAAACTGTAATTACTGTTTGAAAATAATTGTCTTAGCTGCAGCAGACGACTGCATCATGGCTTTGTTGTTGTGTGCTTTCAGGTCATTTCTAACTTATGGTGATGCTAAAACAAACATAACACATAACTTTTTGTTCAGGGGAGTTTGCTATTGCTTTCTGTTGAGGCTGGGATGATGTGACTTGTGCAGGGTCGCCTAGTGCATTTCCATAGCTGAGTTGGGATTTCAGTCAGAGTCTCCTAGTCCAGCACTCAAACCACTACACTGGCCTTTTGCTAGCTCTTCGGAAATCTCCCACAAACCCTGACATCAGCAAAAAAATATAATTAAATTACATGTGGTCTTTTTCTCCTCCCTACTCACCCCCTGCTTGATTTTTCATCCAGTTTATAGAGACATAATGGCCTGTGGCAGAGGAGATTCTTTCTTCATAAGGACTCACTTTGAATGTGACAAGGAGACACCACAGAGCTTGGCCTTCATCAGAGGAGAAGTCTTCAGAGTTGTTGATACATTATATGATGGAAAACTCGGACATTGGCTGGCTGTGAGAATTGAGAGTGAATTGGAAAAGGGCCTGATTCCAAATAGAAGCAGGTATATTATACTTTAGTTGAATTTTATTTCACCTTGAACCGTTCTCCATTTCTGTTTGGGCCAAGTCAGATGGAGCATGCAACGCAAAGCATTCAGGACTGATTCTTGATGGCTTGACTTGCAAGGGTGATAGAGCCCTTTAGACTCCACCCCAGTAGCTGTCCTTGAGTTGCACCTTTTTATTGGGCCTTACATTAATGAGTTGTGACATTTTATTCCTATGAAAACCCAATGTTTAGGGACAATAGCCCACTTTGTGAGAAAAGGGTGGAAAATTGGAGTGGGCCTATTCCACTGGCCCTATCCCTGGTATTCACACTGAACATGCATGTCTGTATATTCCTCTGTGGGACCTGGAAAAAAGGATGCATAGACCATCAGCTAAGACATGTTGTGGTGTGAGGGACTGGAGCTGGTGATTTGATCCTGCTGTCTGTTTCAGTGGGTGCATTATACTTTTCTATCTGTCCATCTGTTTCTGCCTTTCTTCCAGTGAGCTCTAGGTGCTGAATGTGGCTCCCCTGCCCCCTAATCTTCACAGGAGTCCTGTGAGTTAGGTCAGGCTGAAATGGAGTGACTTGTTCAAAGTCATCTTGAGGGTTTTGGGGCTCAGTTCGGACCTGAACCTGAATCTCCCAAGGCCCAATCAGATAATCTAACTTCTATAACACACTGTACTCTTCCATTATGAAGGAAGCCACTCTCAATTTGAACAACAACTTTTCAGTTGTTTCCCACCTGGATCCTTGCTATGTTTACACCAACACTATTCACACTCCACTCCTCCCAATGACATTTAGTTGCTTTATGCATTGTTTTAATGGGAAAGAAGATGCTTTTGGTCTTTAATCTTCCTCACTCTCCAAAGGTTTTAAATATTGGTGAACATTATACACACTGGGGCTGAGAACAATAGAGCTTCAGAAATAATGCAAGAAATTGAGTTGCAGTTCTTACCATCTAGAGCAGGCCTCTTCCACCCAGGGCCCTCCAGATATTTTGGACTTCATCTCCCAGAATTCCTTACCAATGAGCAAACTGGCTAGGGCTTTTGGGAGTTGGAGGCGCAAACACTTGGAGAGCCACAGGCTGAAGAGGCCTGATCTATAGCCAAGTAAATGGAGTTTATGCATATTGTGGTTGTTGTTTTAGTTGAAGAAGACTCTGATGGGAGGAGGGGAGCAAGCAGCAACAGAGCAGGATGGCATTGACACAAACCTTATCAAACACAGAAAGGAAGCCAGAGTTTTTCTTCCTTCTAGGGCTTTACATTTATCTTTGTTTCTCTTCTAGAAATGTGTAAATTTGCTGCCTTTATACTCCTGCGTACACACACACATACGCACAAACACACACATCTTACTGGCTTTTGGAAATGGGCAAACCTTGGTCTCTTTCAGGGCTGAACAGATGGCCAGCGTTCAGAATGCTCAGAGGGATGGCTCGAGTGACAGGGCAGACTTCTGGCGGATGCGTGGCCAGCGATCTGGAATGAAGAAGAATTTAAAGAAAAGCCGTGAAGATTTGACAGCAATTGCATCTGTGAGCACTAAATTTCCAGCCTATGAGCGTGTTATGCTCCGGGAGGGTGAGTGAATGACAGCCTATAAGAACTGTTAACTGATTTTGCATGTTTAGAGATGACAGCTTCTGTTTTTTCTAGCAGTTTAAATCAAATCTGACCAATCAGCTTTGGCTTTGGGCTAAAAGCAAGTGATAAAATCTGTATTTGGCTATGACCATGCTTTAGTCTGTCTAAAAACATCCCAGTTGTTTATATGAGTCATTATATTGGTTTAGAAATGTAAAAAAAACTAACCAATATCTTTGTAAATGACTCAGAAGTGGAAGAAAAAAGACCAGGGCATAGAACATTATTAGTACAGAATATCAAATCAATTTTGTTAATTGCTGGGAGTTTGAGAAATGAATTGGCTTGTTTTAACATTAGTGCAAGAAATTTTTAAATGATTATGCAGATCATTATGTCAGTCATTCCTTTTTTGTAAAAACATAGAATTGGCAAAAGGGGAGATAAGAAAAATTTGCTGTTTGTAGAATCCGAGTTGGAAGAGACCTCCAACTCTATATAAGTTTGCTGTTCATTGAATCATGGAGTTGGAAGAGACCTCGTGGGCCAGCCAGTCCAACCCCCTGCCAAGAAGCAGTACGAGCACCCCCAACAGATGGCCATCCAGCCTCTGTTTAAAAGCCTCCATAGAAGGAGCCTCCACCATACTTCAGGGTGAAGAGTTCCACTGCTGAACAGCTCTCACAGTCAAAAAGTTCTTCCTGATGTTCAGGAGGAATCTCCTTTCCTGTAGTTTGAAGCCATTGGCTCTTTTTAAAATGCTATTGTTATGGCATATGCCTGGTATCCTGTCTCCTCCCATCACTGTTCTCCCTGAAGCTGGGACTTTCCCCTCTTGTTTCCATTTTTCCTTAACTTATCCTTATTTGACCTTCATGGTTATTGTCGCCCCAGTTTCAATGGTCAATAGAACCTTGTCTGGTGCCTGTTTTCTGTATTCCCACCCTTTTCCCCAATGTAAGCACTCCATGGTCCCTTGCCTCTTTCTTCCCCTTCACCATCCATTACAGTGCCATCAGTTCCATTTCCATAGTGTCAAGTTCAAAGAGAAATGTCTTTGGGCAGTCATCAGCCAAACATTAAACAGATTAGAATAAATATATTAAAGTTAATACATTACTTTGTGAACTTAGAGAAAGACATATAAACACTTTAGAGAGTACAGTTATGATGAGTACACATGGTGGTTCTTTATTTCTCATATTTTGTTAAAACTATTAACGCGTGAAGCAGCCTTCAAAACCAGAGTGCCTCATTTATAGACATACTTAGTAAATAAATACTCTTCAGAACAAGGCACTCTCCTTGTTTATACTACAGTGCACTCCATGTTCTTGAATTGTGTTGTGCAAACATGATGGTTCCCCCCACCACCACCCCCCCACACACTTTTAAAATGCAGTTTGTCGTTATGTTTTACAGACTAGAACCTCTGTTATTCCAACTATTTGGCTCATCAGTTAAGCAACACAGGCAGGGAAAGGAGGTTTAGATCATCTCCCAGAAATAACCCCTGTCTTATTCAGGCACTGGGAGTAGTTTCAGGCCGCCTCAAGAGTTCTTCAAGAGTTCCTCCAGTGCCAAATACTGACACATGTTACTGTTATAGCATAAGCTGTTTTGATTGCAAATGGTACATAGTGGAGAAGCATTCCAACTCTTGTACTGATGTGGTCTGGGAACCTGGCATAGAATTGAGACCTCAGATACGTTCTACCCAGGCTTATCCTTTCATCTGGCAATCTGCTCAAATCCCTGTTCCTGGACATATAAAACAGTCAAGTTGGGATATTTTAAGGCACAACCCACTTCTGTTTAAAACAACATTTGAGACATGCTTTGCAATTTACTGAAGCAGTAGTTGTGCTGAGATGTAAACTTTTTTTAAAAATGAACACATCAGTGAGAGAACATTTGTTAAAGTGGCAGAATATTTGTTAAAGTGGTCTTGGAGTCAGGCTGAATAGAAGTATAAAATACAATGATGTACAGTTTTCATTATATGTCAGATATTCCTTGTGAGTTGTTGTTAGCTCTTCATGAAAAATATATACTGTGAGAGGAGATCCATCTATATATTTCTTTATCTTTTACATACTGGGAGGTATCCAGTTGACCAAGTACATCTTCCTCCCTTTTAAAGCCTACTGAGTTGCTCCAAAGTGTGGTTGAAGAAGATGCAAGGGAAAGTTCAGGAAGAGGGGAAGGGGGAATATCCCATTGGTCAGTTGGCTACCCCCTTAGGCAGTGCTGGATTTTGCCCAGTCAGGAAATTTGCACTTTTAAATGAATTACTTTCGGTTTTGATCATTGCAAGAGCAGCTGGTGGGGATGCCAGAGAAGGCTTTCTTTCTCAGTGACTGTCCCTCAACTCTGGAAGTTTCTTCTTCCCAGGGAATAACAACAACAACAACAACAACAACAACAACAACAACAGGAAGACCTGGTTATGGCTCACGAATGGAACACTGAAGGAGACAGAAGGCCTGATTCTTGTAGCCCAGGAGCAAGCCATCAGAACAAATGCAATTAAGGCCAGGATTGAAAAATCAGCTGATGACCCAAAATGCAGACACTGCAAGGAAGCTGAAGAAACCATTGTTCATATCCTCAGCTGCTGCAAGAAAATCACACAAACGGATTATAAACAGAGGCACAACTCTGTGACCCAAATGATTCACTGGAACTTATGTCATAAGTACCACCTGTCAGTAGTAAAGAACTGGTGGGATCATAAACCTGCAAAGGTAGTGGAAAATGAACACGCAAAAATACTGTGGGACTTTCGAATCCAGGCTGACAAAGTTTTGGAACACAATACACCAGACATCATTTTTTATTTTGTCATGTCAGGAGCAACCGCTCCTGTTGTGAGAGATCATGATTGTAGAAAAGAAACAAGTTTGGATTATTGATATCGCCATACCAGGTGACAGTTGCATTGAGGAAAAACAACAGGAAAAACTTAGCCGTTATCAGAATGTCAAAATTGAACTGCAAAGGCTCCGGCATAAACCAGTACAGGTGGTCCCAGTGGTAATCGGCACACTGGGTGCCATGCCAAAAGATCTCAGCCAGCATTTGGAAACAATAAACATTGACAAAATCATGATCTGTCAACTGCAAAAGGCCACCTTACTTGGATCTGCGCACTTGAAAATACATCACACAGTCCTAGACGCTTAGGAAGTGTTCGACTTGTGATTTTGTGATATGAAATCCAGCACATATAGCTCGTTTGCAATGGCATACTGTGTTTTTGTGTCAGTAAAATAATAACAAAAACAACAACAACAACAACATTATTTTTTACCCCACCACCATCTCCTCAAAAGGACTTCAGACGGCTTACATGGGGATGAGCCTGATCAACATAGTTAAAATATAACACATTAAAATACATAAACAACAGCATAAAACAGAATAAAACAACAACATCATATCAAAATATAAAAGCAAGCATCAATTCAACAACCAATGAACAATAATAATCCATTTCTGGTCACGGGTAGGCGGACTGGTGCAAAAACAATTGTGGGAATATGACGTGGATAAAGTGCGTAGGTCATATGGAAACAGTAGAGATAGAGGGCAATGTAGAATAGAGCATTATAATTTTGGGTACAGAACAATAGTAAAGTGCGAGGACAAGATTTTGAGTCCCAGCTGGGGCCAGCTATCTGGAGAATTGCCTAGTCAAAAGCACAGCGGAACATCCACGTATTTAGGGGAAGCCAGGATAACCCCCTCCCTGCTGTCCTTCTAGTGGCAGGCTAAAAGCTTTCTATTTAGACAGGCAATTCAGTGAGGTGCTATAGGCTATTTCATTATTTTAACAATTTTAAATTATTTTAAGTGTTCTAAAGGATTTTATTTGTCTGGTTTTTCTTTTTTAATACTTGTTGCTGTCAATTTTAAACTACACTTTTTTAAATGTTGTGAGCCACTTTGTTGCTGAATCAAGTTTAAAGCAGAATATAATAATAATAATAATAATAATAATAATAATAATAATAATAATAACCATATCTCCTTATAACTTTCTGCTTGCAGCTGGCTTTAGAAGGCCTGTGGTGATTTTTGGGCCCATAGCAGATATAGCAATGGAGAAGTTATGCAATGAGCTACCTGACCTTTATCAAGCTGCCAGTAAGTAATTCAGTCCTTCTTGCTTATATATAATTAATATATTTTATTCCAATGTATTGTATTGGTTGTTTTTCAAGACAGAACTGTCACAATGTGATAATGAAAAGAAACAACAGAATATTTTAGGTGGAATCATAGAGTTGAATCATCCATTCCAACCCCCTGCCAAGAAGCAGGAAAATCACATTCAAAGCACCCCTGACAGATGGCCATCCAGCCTCTGTTTAAAAGCTTACAAAGAAGAATCCTTCATCACACTCTGGGGCTGAACAGCTCTAACAGTTAGGAAGTTCTTCCTAATGTTCAGGTGGAATCTCCTTTCTTGTAGTTTGAATCCATTGTTCCAAAGCAGCAGAAAACAAGCTTTCTCTCTCCTCCCTATGACTTCCTCTCACATATTTATACATGGCCCTCATCATGTCTCCTCTCAGCCTTCGCTTCTTTAGGCTAAACATGCCCATCTCTTTAAGCTGCTCCTCACAGGGCTTGTTCTTCAGACCCTTGATCATTTTAGTCGCCCTCCTTTGAACGCATTCCAGATTATTAACATCTCTCTTCAATTGTGGTGCCCAGAATTGGACACAGTATTCCAGGTGTGGTTTGACCAAGGCAGAATAGAGGGGTAGCGTGACTTTCCCTGGATCTAGGCACTATACTCCTATTTATGCAAGCCAAAATCCCATTGGCTTTTTTAGCCGCCACATGACATTGTTGGCTCATGTTCATCTTCCTGTCTACGAGGACCCAAGATCTTTTTCACACATACTGCTGTCGAGCCATATTTGCTTGGCCTCTTCAGTAAGAACTGCTTTAAATGCATGTTTTAATCAAATGCATTCTGTATCTTTGCATTTCATTTTTTCCGCCTAAATGGAGTATCTTTCATTTGTTCCTGTTGAACTTCATTTTAAAGTGTGTCTAGCTAAATGGACACATATGAATTATTGGTTCAAGACACAGAAATGCATCTGATTAAAACATGCATTCTAAGCACTTCTTACTGAAGAGGCCAAGCAAATATTAAGTGGAAGGCGGGTCTGCTATTGGGATGGGGCTTCTTTTTGTGCTTCCATGCATATTTTCACCAATGGAATACAAGCTAGACTTTTGACCTTACATATACTCTTAAGTGACATAGAGATGCAGGTTGCACTTTAGGTAAGCCAGTCCCAAAATATCTATGGCACATGTAGACAACTTGTAGCCTCCAACTGTTGTTGAACTACAGTTCTAGGGGTTATCAGAGTTGCGGCCCAACATCATCTGGAGATCCACATAATTTAGAGTCTTTTGAGCAGCATTTTCAGTGCTTTGGGTTTGGAAACTCACTGGTAATTATTGTAATTGTAAAGTGCAGCCAAGTGGAAATAGTTTATTGTTCAGATTAACATTTAAGTGGCTGTACTTGTTCTGTGTAAAGGCTCCCTCAACATTATTTAGTTTTCTAAAAAATAATTGGCAAATGATGACACATACCAATTACTCTTCCAGAAACAGAACCTAAAGATGCCGGTTCAGAGAAGTCCACTGGTGTGGTGCGTTTAAATACTGTGAGGCAAATTATTGAACAGGTATATATTTTCCATCCTTCGGTAAAATAAAAGCAAAGTTGGATAAATTTGTAGTGGTGGTGGTGTGTGTTTAATTCTTCGTAACCATAACATCCATATTGTCCTTTTTTTTGTTTCAACCCACAACAGGACAAACATGCTTTGTTGGATGTAACACCCAAAGCTGTGGATTTGTTAAACTACACACAGTGGTTCCCAATTGTAGTGTTTTTCAACCCTGACAGCAGGCAGGGTGTGAAAATCATGCGGCAAAGGCTAATTCCCACATCCAACAAGAGTTCACGGAAACTATATGACCAAGCAAATAAATTGAAAAAGACTTGTGCACATCTTTTTACAGGTACCTGAAAATGTGTTTCTTCTTTTGTTTCCTCTAAAAGCATTCATAAGTGTAGATTGAATTTTATATGGTTCCTTCAGAAAATTCTCGATGTTTCTCAAAGCAAATATGAGCACAATCAAATGGGTCTTCCCTCTAAATTTTACTGAAATAAATGTTGGATTTCAATCATGCATTTGACCCTCTTGCAAGCCTTTTCACACCTTCCTCCTTTATATGCAAGAATCTTTAATTTGCTGTCAAAAATGGAATATCAAATACATTATTTTAAAAGGTAGTGAAAAAATGGTGAGGGTTATTGCTCCATGTTGCTAGCAAATAGCAGACTATACAGCCATGTTTTTCTGAATGGTTGGTCACATTACAGGATGAGTGGCACTAATGCAGACAATGTGAGTGCAGACCAGAGTTTTCCAAACTCTGATTTGCTATGCTTTTTTGAATTATAATTCAGGAATCACCAGGCAACATGTACACTGGCTGGGTCAGTCTGAAAGTTGTTGTCAACACAGGTGTTTTTATTTATTTTTTTCAAGTTTGAGTGCAGACCATTAAATTTTGCACCCCTGCAATATCAAAATGGAAGTTGAGTAGGAAGTTAAGGAAAGATTGTGTACAGAGGATTTTTAGATAAAACAATTAAGATATATTTGCAAAAGCATATATAAATATTTGGTAAAGATTTTCCCCTTGACATTAAGTCTAGTCATGTCCGAGTCTGGGGGGTGGTGCTCCTCTCCACTTTTAAGCCAAAGAGCCGGTGTTGTCCGTAAATGCCTCCAAGGTCACGTGGCCAGCATGACTGCATGGAGTGCTGTTACCTTCCCGCCAAAGCACTACCTATTGATCTACTCACATTTGCATGATTTCAAACTGCTAGCTTGGCAAAAGTTGGGTCTAACAGCGAGAGCTCATCCTGCTCCTCAGATTCGAAACACCGACCTTTTGGTCAGCAAGTTCAGCAGCTCAGCGGTTTAACTCGCTGCACCACCAGTGGGCCCTATATAAAGATTAGCACCACAATATCGCAGTAAAAATGAATACCATATTTATTTAATTCTTAGATGACACTGATTGTAAGATGCACACCAATTTCAGTATCACCAATGGGGGAAAATATTTTTGGATATGAAAAAGCACTCTCAATTCTACAGGATGTCTCAAAAGTTGGCATGCATCAGGAAAATGTAAATTAAGGTACCTCTCACTACAATTTCCAATTTCCCCTATGTATGGTGACTTTTGGGACACCCTATAAGACATAAGCCATTTTTAGAGATGTCTATATTGGGTGGGGGGGGGGGAGTGCATTTTAGAATTTAAGAAATGTTATAATTTCTTAAGTTTAATTTAATATTGATTGATTGTGCTCTATTACATTATACTTCTGAATGATGAGTGTCTTCACCAAAGGTGTTCAGCTGGACTATCCAGCTGAACACCTAAGTACAACGACACTAGGGTAAACATATCTTCATCACATTGAAACAGTTAGAAGGGACACATTGAAACGTATATGTTACAATCATATAATTCATTTCTTTTCATCTCTCAGCTACAATTGATCTACATTCAGCCAATGATAGCTGGTATGGCAGTCTCAAAGATTCTATCCAGCAACAGCAAAGTGAAGCAGTGTGGGTTTCAGAAGGAAAGGTATGTGATCACATGCACATGGTTGTTACTTTTGTGTGTACTTTTATGCGTATAATACAAATCCCATTAAAAAGGTAAAGGTTTCCCCTGGCATTAAGTCTAGTTGTGTCCAACTCTGGGGGTGGTGCTCATCTCCATTTCTAGGCCAAAGAGTCAGTGTTGTCCATAGGCACCTCCTAGGTCATGTTGCCAGCATGATTGCAGTGCGCCATTACCTTCCCGCAGAGGCGTAACCTATTGATCTACTCGCCTTTTGCATGTTTTCAAACTGCTAGGTTGGCAGAAGATGTGCCTAACAGCAGGAGCTCACTCCACTGCCTGCATTCGAACTGCCAACCTTTCAGTCAGCAAGTTCAGCAGCTCTGCGGTTCAACCCACTGCACCACCTCCTCAGATCCCATTATAGACAGAAATGTCCGTGTGAGAGGAAATTGAGAATGTGTGCTAATGGATTTTCCATTATTTGTGTAGAAAATTCTCCCACTTATGTAATATAGAATTTTATTGAACACAGCCATAGATGTTGATTACATATCAAAAGAAAAAGGTTTAAAGTTCTGATTGAGAATTAAAACAAAACAAAAACATCTTACAGTATATTTTATTGTTATCCCTAATAAACACTGAGCAGCAGAATGGCTTTTTATGCTGCTTGCAATGCCATATACTGAAGTTTCTGTACTTTATGGTCTTACATAATATGAGCATGTATGTGATAAGGAAAGCATAACCTGTCCATAAAATCCTTTTTTTCCCAGCTGGAAGGAATGGATGATGACATTGAGGATCGTATGTCATACTTAACAGCAATGGGTGCTGACTATCTGAGCTGTGACAGCCGACTGATCAGTGACATGGAAGACACTGATGGAGAAGGCGGGGCCTATACAGACAATGAGCTTGACGAGTCATCCTATGAGCCCAGAGTCTCCTCCATTAGTCGGTCCTCTGAACCTGTGCAGCATGAAGAGGTGAGAAGTACAGAATGACAAATTTGTTTCTTTCTCTCAAAATACTGTTTTGCAAAACACAAGCAGTGGAAAACTGCTTGTGTACCTGTCTGTCAGATAAGTTGCCTGACACACTCTGGAGGAACCTGACTCAGAACTTCCAGTTCTTTCAATGCCTGAATTTGTGGGGCAGTCTGAGAAGAGTGGCATTGGACACTTCTTAAACTATATGTCCCGACCCCAAACTGGATCTCCTGAGGTCAATGTTGGGGTCCCGAAAAAAAATTGACAGCAGTAAAAAAAATTGCACGTCACATAGCAGCTGTTTTGGACATTTTCACAAATCTGTTGTACAGTGTTTACCATGGACTCTGCAGAAGATGCTTCAGCTGTACTTCATAAAAAGGAAAATCTTTGCCAATGCAAGTTTGTTATCAGAAAATGTTTGACTTGTGTAACTTGTGTAACTATATTAAATACAATAATTTCTCTGGTGAAAAGGGGTCTCAAGTGGAAAAATGTAAGAAGCTCTGGCATAGAAAATCACCTAGCCAGTGGCACAGACAATTTTAACTTCAAACCTTTTAAGCAGTCCTTCAAGTCTGTTGAGGGGGGGGGGAGGGTTGTCTCATGATAGTTTGAAAAAAATATGAATTAATTCCTATGCACACAGTACATATCTTATTTATGGGGCAAAAAAAAAACCCATGAAAGAACAAAGCAATATTTAAAATGAAGAACAATTTTAACTAACATAAACTTACCAGTATTTCAATAGGAAGTATGGCCCTCCTTTTGGCTGATGAGATAGTATAGTTACTTCGGATTGCTGTGGTTGTGTGTCTTCAAGTCATTTCAAACTTAGGGTGACACTAAGCCTAAAGTTTAGGGTGGGAACCGGATAAATTACCTTGGAGGGCTGCATTCAACTCACAAGCCTTAATTTGGAGACCCCTGATTTAGGGATCTCAATGGAGGGACAGAATCTCAGGTGCCCTGAGTCCCTCTTCGGAGGTCGAGAATAGGACGGGATACAAATGTTCTAAATAAATAACTAAATAATAAACATACCCTGAAGGAAAAGTTAGCACCATTTCAAGGTATTGGTGTAGATTGTTTTTACCAACAATTAGGACAGGTTTCCCACAATGGCATCGACAAGCAATCCAGTACAATTGGGTTTCATTCCAATGTCCCAATTAATTGTCCCTGACAGATTATTTCTATTTTGATGTATGAACCAAACACATTTGCCCTTCTCTGCCAAACTTAGGGAACAATATTTAATTTAGCAACAATAATTAAGGTAGAAATGGATACGAAAGTGAGTGGGAACATGATTAGTGTAGAAGGAAAGGAAAACTAGTGGAGACAAAAACTAAAGATAAACAAAAAAGGGGATTCTTATACTTCATATTACCTGTGGATAAAGAGATTCTGGTGGTGAAACATTCCACTTCAGGCTTTGTAACATCAATGGGGAGAGCAAGTTTCTTCTCCTGCTTTAAAACTCTGTTGTAGAACAATTCATTAAAATTATTTCAAATTGCTTCAATCTAAAAAGGTGACAAACATGCAAACATTACATTACTCATAATAATTCTGTGGTATGCACTTGGTTTCATACAGAGACCTGTAAGAGCAGACTGTTCTGACAAACACATCAAAAGCTATGTTTTCCATATGGTTGAAGAGGGGAAAAGATGACTTGCAGAGCAGTATCACTAGCAAAACCTTTAAACTAAGGTCAGAGGACAAAGGGCCATGAATCTTTTGGGGGATGAGGGGGAGGAGTCACAATGCTGTAACTGTGCCTCACATGAGTCAAGAACTGTGTGAATGCATGTATAACATATTTCCTTTACTTGTCCTTAGAGTTTAAGAAGACCCAGCCCTGAACCAAGAACACAGATGAGAAGAGCTGGTAGCAGGGAAGTTTTGAGAGATCCCAGCCCACCTCCAGCATTCAAGCCTGAACCCCCAAAGGTAATGCGAGAGGAGAAAAATGGTTAAATAATGGAATTGGTAGTGTTTCATCAGTTTTCTAAGGCCATAATCTTTTCGTTTTCTTTGCTCCAGTCCCCAGCTTCAGATTTTCATCCTAAGCCCAAGGAGAGATGTTTAGCCATATCTTATACATCTGTGCTTTTTATGTAGGAAAGTCTTTAATAATAATAATAATAATAATAATAATAATAATAATAATAATAATGGTCCCGGTGGTAATTGGTACACTTGGTGCCATGCCAAAAGATTTCACCCGGCACTTGGAACATTAAACATTGACAAAATCGCGATCTGTCAACTGCAAAAGGCCACCTTACTTGGATCTGCGCGCATCATTCGAAAATACATCACACAATCCTAGATGCTTAGGAAGTGTTCGACTTATGATTTTGTGATATGAAATCCAGCATATATATCTCATTTGCTGTGACATGCTATGTTTTTGTGTCAGTAAAATAATCTTTATATACCACTTTTCTCCCTAACGGGAACCAAAGCAGCTCATAGCATATTACAATACAAATCAAAGCATATTTAACATAAAATACAAGAAAAAAAATCACACAATGCATAATAACATCTAGAAATAAAATGCAAATAAATATTAAGCATTAAAAAGCTTTTAAAACCAATTACAATTGTTATGGAGACTCATAAATTAAGTAATATATTTCGCAAATCGACCTTGCACTTGTTGTTATTAGCAATTGAATTCATTCGTCAAAAGCTTGCTTGAACAGATAGGTCTTCAACTGATTCTTGAACGATAACAGGGAAAGAGTTCCAAAGGGCCCGGGGCGGCTACCGAGAATGCCCTCTCTCTCATTGCCGCCAACCATATTTGTGACGGCAGCAGCAACTAAAGATCTCTTTGCAACTGTATTATTCAATTAGTTGCTGGTGATCATTTCTAGACTGAATCTCTTGCTTTTATATAAATACTTACTGGCTTTTGGTTTTCTATTAAAGGGTAAACTGTCGAACAAAGAAGATCCATACGATGTCCCTAAGAATTATGAACCCAGAACAAACAGCCCCAGTGGTCTTAGCACAGAAGCATCTGGAATACCGGCTAAAGCAACTCCTCCACCTATAGCCGTCAAGCCTGCTTTTGGACGTCCCATATTAAAATCCTCTCAGCCGGTCATTCAGTCAACAGAATCGGAAGAGAAAATTGAGGAGAGTGTAGACAATGGGGAGAACACACCGAAATCTGTGTTGGGGAAAGTTAAAATATTTGAGAAGATGGACCATAAGGCAAGACTCCAGAGAATGCAGGAATTGCAAGAAGCACAAAATGCCAGGGTATAGGAAAAAAGAACAAAATAGTCAATAGTTTTAGTCTTTGTGTTTTTATTAGCAGTAGTGCATGAATAGCTTTGTACTTTGCCGCTTTGCATGCCTTTGAGTACACAAAGACCCCCATATCTGTGGGACCAGTAGCAGCATTTTGATTTTCCCATGTCTGACAAAATATTCCCTCTCTAGGCATTTTCTAGATCTTCCATGTGGTTATATAGTATACTTCCACCAAAAGTGTATCATAGAGTTGTACTGAGGATCTACCATACCATAAAGTCTTGCTGTGTGACTATATGGTATTCCACTAGAGTTATTACCTCCAATTTCATTTATCCACACAAAGACCTGGAATATATCTTCCATAGATATGGGGGAATCATATTGTACTGTGACTCGTTGTTAAGGGAATACTTTTGGGGTTGGCCACTTATTTTTGTTTGAGTGAGTTTTGAAAGAGGTTATAATGCTTATATATTTTATTTTTTATAGGTAGAAATAGCTCAAAGACACCCAGACATTTATGCTGTCCCAATCAAAACACAGAAACAGGAGCAGAACTGGTCCCAGACCGTCAGGTAAAATGAATTCATTTGTGCACACTCTTCTTAATGTGGAAAGGGCAATTGGCCCTACTGAATTAAACTACTATCAAAATTGCATTTAAAAAGAGAAGATCCCTTGCATATATGTGATCCAAAAGAAGATCAGTAGAATATATTTTCTTTCCAAAAGAGTTTTAAAAGCTGATAGACCTCTACCAAAATAACAATGAGTACATTAAATAATGCATATATTAATATTGCTCAATGATAGTATTCCTCCTCCCTCATATCATATTGGCTGAACATCTGGGTTTCAGTCCTGTCTGTATCCAGCACAAAATGCTTGTCCTTCAAAAAAATTGCTGTGTCCTATTTCTCGTCCCTTAATGCTACCAATATTCTTGAATGCAATGCCCAGTTCTACTCTCCCCAGCCATCCAGAGGTTACTATTTCCTTCAACGTCGCTGCCATATCCCTGTGCCACAATAGAAAATAGAACACTGACTGTGCATGTGGTGCCTTTTGCCCTGTCAGACTTCATTATTTTCATTAAACAACACATCTTCAGAGTTATCATGTGGTTGTCCTCTTGCCCAGCTGTATCTGTTCTATATAATGCAGTTTATCCCTGGTTTTTATTTTCAAAAAATCCAGTAGTGTATTTTCAGAGGCATCTTTCTATTATCTGTACAACACTATAAGGTACCCTGTATGGTATTGTCCTATAACAAAAACTAATTTGGCCATTTATCATTAACTTATTTCTCTGTATAAATACATTAGTTTTGTCACGATTATGCTACTGTAATGTTTTAAGATTAAGCTTTTTAAGAGACCCCCAATCTAAAGTTTAGGGCGGGGGCGGATAAATTACCTTGAAGGGCTGCATCTGACCTGCGAGCCTTAATTTGGGAATCCCTGCTGCAAGTGTTTGTGTCTTTGCATTAAAGAATATTTCTAGACGCAAGGTGTGAGATTGTTTGGTGAAGAATGGTTAGACCTGAATTGGGGCTGACTGAAACGTTGCCATCCAAAAGCTCTCATCTGTGCCAGCGTTTCACAGAGATTGGCCATATTTTTGTAGTGTCCATGCTTCTACATTGTTAAGTGGTGGATTTTAGGACACTATAAAATGACTGTAGTTCATCAGTTGCTTTGTATCAGATATGTTGTTGATGAATTTGGATAGCATTAATAGAAGAACAAGAAGGACAGTGTTGTATTTCAAATAAATAGTAAATACTACTACATTTTTTGCCTCTTCAAGGTGATGAGATGGCACTACCTTGAATGTGGCATAAGCATGCATATGTTGAACGTATTTAGATACTTCCAGTAAGGAACATTTAGACATTATTGTTTTGAGAGAAGTTCAGCCATAGAGAAGGGCTTCTTGACAGTGTTTGTTCGGAGACCACACCTGGAATACTGTGTCCACTTCGGGGCACCACAATTGAAGAGAGATGTTAACAAGCTGGAATGTGTCCAAAGGAGGGTGACTTAAATGAACGAGGGTCTGGAGAACAAACCCTATGAGGAGCGGCTTAAAGAGCTGGGCATGTTTAGCCTGAAGAAAAGAAGGCTGAGAGGAGACATGATAGCCATGTATAAATATGTGAGGGAAAGTCATAGGGAGGAGGGAGCAAGCTTGTTTTCTGCTGCCCTGGAGACTAGGACACGGAGCAATGGCTTCAAACTACACGAAAGGAGATCCCATCTGAACATGAGGAAGAACTTCCTGACTATGAGAGCTGTTCAGCAATGGAACTCTCTGCCCCGGAGTGTGGTGGAGGCTCCTTCTTTGGAGGCTTATAAACAGAGGCTGGATAGCCATCTGTCGAGGGTACTTTGAATGCAATTTTCCTGCTTCTTGGCAGGGGGTTGTACTGGATGGCTCATGAGGTCTCTTCCAACTCTATGATTCTATGATTCTATGTTGGTAAACTTCTGAATAGCGTTGAAAACTGAGATAAGACTTGAGTTCTGTTGGGTGATAAATCTGTTTGGAACCACCCTGAGTACTTTTGGGGAGATAAGGTGGTTTATAAATAAAGTTTTTTAAAATTATATTATTATTATTATTATTATTATTATTATTATTATTATTATTATTATTAATTTCAAATGCTCTCTCTCTCTCTCTGCTCCACTATGCCAAAATTTACTTATGGTAATTTGTTTTGCTGTCAGTTCCAGGCCTCCAGAACCACAGAAACCACCCGCTAGACCTTACCTAGATAAACAAGGAAGTTATGGCAGTGATGCAGAAGAGGAAGACTATCGCCGGCAACTAGCTGATAAGTCTAAACGTGGATACTATGGACCACCAGCTAGATACAGGGATACAGAATTGTAGATTTACTGTTGGCCAGAGTTGCTGTACTGAGGCATATGTGCACAGTGCAAACAGAATCCTGGTTACTTTTTTAAAAGTATATATATTTGGGGGCTACTGATGAACTCAAGGTGTATCTAGATACTGGAATTGCAGGACTTAACTTTCATATAAGTACTGAAGAAAATGAATCACTGTTGCCTGAACGCTGTTGCCTATTTTACAAAAGGACCAAAATCTATTTTAAAAATTACATTAATTTCTGGCATTTATATCTTTTAAACTATTTCTCTTCCTCACTACAACTGCCTTTGAAAATTGTTTAAAATTTCACGACGTGTTTGAACATGATGAAAATGCACAGTGCTTTAGTGCAAGAAAAAAGTGCCTTTCTAATGAAAAGTGTCTTGTTGTTCTTTGACCCTGACGCTTGTGCAAAGCCATAATGTTTCTATTGCCTAACTTTTGTATGTTTCATGGTTACCATTTCCCCCTTCGAATGCTATTTTTCTATTTTAAATAGATCTGTATACAATTTTTCATAAGCAGTGATTGTACATACGACAGGGTTGTTTTATGAGTTGGCTGCCACAAGGTCTGAGAGCAGTAAGATTGAAAAAAAATATGTAGAAAATAAGGGAGATTATTTGCGTCTTAAACCTTTACATGAGTCATAAAATAATAAAGGGATATATTCTCCAACCAAATGTTGTCCTGTTTCATTTTAGGAAAAAGGGATTGTTCCTTTCTGTCTGGTTTTGTGTTCTGGTTTTTGATGCAGGAAGGAAGTAATAATCATCTTTTTATATTCTCTTTTTGGCCTATAATTGACAAAGGTTGCACTTTCATGATCCTTTTGCAAAGAATATATTGAAAGCCCCACAAAGGAAATCAAAAATAGGTCTGTTATGATGCACAATAACGTTGAATACAAGAGATCAGGGTGGTGCAGTACACAATTTTTGTGGTCTACTGATCTTTGTGTAAATTTATTGACATCCCTTGTTGAACCAGATGTCAGTCCTCATTTCTAAATAATTTTTGAGGAACAGAGCCAACTGCACCCGATCAACAATTTGAGCATTGGCTATGTTGCATGTGTGGTTGTCTTTTGCCTAAAGTCATCTCTTAGCTCTATATTGAAATCCTTTAAAAATACAAACTCGGTGGTAAAAGGTGTTGTTATTTTGATGGAAAATATGAGTTAATAAATATATTACTGCATGCTGCTTTTCATCATGGAGATTATTCATAGATATTCATGGAGATTATTCCACCATTTTTTGTATTTTTCATTGTTATTGTTGCTGTTATTATATTACCACTATTGACTTTCTCATAGTAGTATTGCGAAATCTGGCATACAAATAATCTGTACATACCAGAAGGTTGGGGCTCCTGGTGGTGCAGCAGGTTAAACTGCTGAGCTGTTGAACTTGCTGACCGAAAGGTTGCCTGTTTGAATCTGGAGAACCAGGTGAGCTCCCACTGTTAGCCCCAGCTTCTGCCAGCCTAGCAGTTCAAAAACATGAAAATAGGTACCACCTTGACGGGAAGGCAACAGCACTCTATGCAGTCATGCTGACTACATGACCTTGGAGGTGTCTACGAACAACGCTGGATCTTCGGCTTAAAAATGAAGATGAGCATCACCTCTCAGAGTCAGACATGATTAGACTTAATGTCAGGGGAACCCTTTACCTTTTTACCAGAATGTCTTCGATTTCCAGAGCTAAATATTTCTGAACCAGAAGACTACTAAAGAGTCAGATGTCTCACTTGGAAGTCCCATATGGAATGAGAGTAAAAATGCTATGACTTTAAAACTATTTAAACCACAACTGAACTGCAGAAAAGTAACTTTTGTCTTAATACATCTTAGAAATTGTGAGATCACAAATAAGTTACAAGTAAAACATTCTCATTATGGAAAGTAACATCTGGAAATTGTAGAATGGGTTGATATGCTTGGAAATTTGTCTGTCTTTATGGCCTTATTCCATGACTACAGCTGCTGCTGCCAAGGAACTTCATAATATGGTGGTAGTAGAGACCCTCTTGATGTTTAGGCAGAGTTTGCATGTGTTCATGATGACAGGATGTTGCTCTTTTTAAGGTATAATCTTCACAGCAACTACTTTTGAATGGTTTGAAGAAATAGCACTGAGGAAAACAACAATAGCTGCACATTGAATTATATTTTGTAGTAACTTTTTTTAGAAAAGGAGAGTAATCAGGATGTGTTGACCTGTAGTACCAGTATGTAGTTTTTCCTATGGAAAATGGTGCAATTAAAAGTGAAATAGTTTGTGGTTCTTTTTCTGCTGCTGCTTTAGAACAGTTTGACATCATTTAAATGCTTTGACATTAATATTTTGATATCTAGGAAGTGTCCAAGAAAACTAATAATGAGAGATATCTATTCTCTTCTCTCAGTTTTTCCTTATGCATTACAGCAAAACTAAAAAGCTACAGTGAAAGACAATACTAATGATGTATCTCTTATAGAAAGCTTTGTAAATGCTGAATTTATAGAAAACCTGATAGTTGCCGCTTCAGTAAATTTTCCTAATCCTCATAACACTGCGAGGCTACAGAGAATGTTTAGTATTTTTCCTATAAGAGATGAAACATTTCACGCAGATTTCACTGGCAAATGGACAGATGGGTGAAAGGCTCTGTTTCTGTCTCTCTGCACATGAGAGAGCAAGGAGGATCCTGCAAAATTTTCAGCTTGCTTTTTGTAAGTTTTCAAATACCCACAAAAGATAATGACTTCATTGTGCATCCCCCCCTGAAAGCTTTCATTTGCCAGCCCCAAATTTAATTATATGGTGATTTATGAATAGTCATCATGCACATGACACCTGTGGAAAACCATGCAATTATACAGCAGCAGGAATCCCAATTAGAGACTTTCAAAATTAAAATGTCATGCTAACTTGTAAGAACATGGCAAAGCTCACCACACATATGTAATTAAGAGCTGTAGGTTTTTGGATAGCAAAGAAAGTATCGTATATACTCAAAGAAAAAGTGGATCCCATCTCATCTTGGAAACGAAGAGAGTCAGTCCTGGTTTGTACTTGGATTCAAGACCACCAACAAATATAAGGTGCTGTAGGCTATATTTCAGAATGGGGAATGGACAAAACCAATGTGAGTATCCCTGGAATAAGAAGATAAAGGTAAAGGTTTCACCTTGACATTAAGTCTAGTCGTATCTCCATTTCTAAGATGAAGAGCTGGTGTCCATAGACACCTCCAATATCATGTAGTCAGCATGACTGCATGGAGTGCCATTACCTTCCCATAGAACGAATACTTGATCTACTCACGTTTGCATGTTTTCAAACTCCTAGGTTTGGAAAAGCTAGGGCTAAGAGTGGGAGCTCACCCCGCTCCCCAGATTCAGCCTGCTGACCTTTCAGTCAGCAAGTTCAGCAGCTTAGTGGTTTAACCTGCTTCTCCACCAGGGGCTCAGCGGATTACAGTAATGGGATTGTCATAAATTGGCATATACACTTGTAAACCTTGTGTATTGGGTGCAGATTGTGGGGCCAAAATTATGGCTTTTGATATGACCTATAGATAAATAAACTCCTATTAAAGAGGATGGGGCTCCTCAAATCCATTCCAAGAAGAGGCAGACGCCCTTACTGTGCCTTAGAGCCAGATGTTTCTGTCTGCTACTTCTGCCGTTTTGCCACCCAGGCATTGCAAAAGACCAGCAAAGTAGAGATTGGTGTTTGTTTTAGGTTTTCCTTGGAAGGACAAAACTCTCAAGGAGTATATAAAGGATGTCCCAATGCACCTCACTCGCTCTGCCCCCATGCAGAAGTGCCAAAAAAAGCTGCTATGGTGCATAGAGATCAGGGTTTCTTCCACTTTCCCTCTAATCACCCCACTCTGGTAGAAAAGAACCAAAGAGCCATGGTGACAGAGTGAGTCACCATGGCTCTTTGGGGGAATGGGGCTTTTTTCTTCTCCCAGCAAGAGCCGAGTCCATATAGTGACAGCCTAAAAGAAGCATTGATGGCCAATGTGTTGTCGAAGGCTTTCATGGCCAGAATCACTGGGTTGCTGTGAGTTTTCTGGGCTGTATGGCCATATTCCAGAGGCATTCTCTCCTGACGTTTCGCCCACATCTGTAGCAGGCATCCTCAGAGGTTGTGAGTTCTGTTGGAAACTAGGCAAGTGAGGTTTACAGATGTGAGGAATGTCCCCGCACTGTTTTGAAGCCAGATATCTCTGGCCTTCCCAGCTGCCTTTTTGCCACCCAGGCATTGCAAAAGTAGAGGGGATCCCACCCTGGACATTCCACAGATCTATAAACCTCGCTTGCCTAATTTCCAGCAGATCTCCCAATCTCTGAGGATGCCTGCCATCGATGTGGGCAAAACACTAGGAAAGAATGCTTCTGGAACATGGCCATACACTCCGGGAAAACTCATATCAACCCAGCATTGATGTCCTCTGATCTCCTTGCATGGCAGGGAAGGTCTAAAGAGCCACCACAATTTTTTGTTGTTAGATCAGATGTAACGCTGTGGTGGTTGATCCAGATATTTTGGATCATTTTTTTGTCATTTTAAAAAAACTTTTACAGCACAGAATTGTATCTGGTAACTTTTAAAGCATGCACAACATTTATCACCTGATAACAGTAAGCTATGTGATAGTCCACCTTAAGATTCATTTGACCTATGATAAATGTATATATGCTGGAAATTAAGTAATGCATCCTCACTTGATGTTAAGGAATCAAACTCTGGCCACCTGTCCTAATGCATCCTGGGATAACACTTTTAAAAGCAAATAGATTTGCTTACTACAGAGAACTCCTTTTTTGAAGGCATAATTTGCAACTAAATCCAGGCAAAGGGAAGATGGCTCAGCAGCACAAATGCTGATGCTAGTGAGAAAACATTACATCCATACTGAAAGTAGAAACCTTCATCTGTCTTAAATTTCTGGTTTGTATTTTCATGCACATTAAGTTCTGCTAGAGCTGCTCTGTAGCAATAAAAGAGTATTTTTCCTGAAGGCATTGGTACAGCATTTGCACACAGATGAGATATTGCTCCATATGCCATTTCCCTTGTGTAGAGAATAATATGAAGGCACTATTTCAGGTTGAGATCAGAGACAAAATGGGGATGCCTTTATTCCACTATAAGAGAGATGCAAAAAATTCTCAGTAACATAGCTGAGAAATTGTTTTCTCTGAGCATGCCATTCTGGAAAAATGCTATCTATGTGCATAAAATAAAAAACATCTACCCATCACAATTCTGTACTCTCTTTGGGGACATCTATACTGTAGAATTAATGCAGTTTGATAGCACTTTAACTACGGTTGCTCAATACTATGCTATGTTGAGAACTGTAGTTTGGTGAGGCAGCAGAACTCTGGCATAAAGCCTAAAGGCCTTGTAAAACGACAACTCTCAGGATTCTGTAGTGCAGAGCCATGACAGCTAAAGTGTTGTCAAACTCCATCACCATAATTATTATTACCTGGCTTTTATCTCTTGAGGTGCATGGCAGCTCACAACATTAAAAAAATGCAATTTAACAACTTGTTCACTTCTGCTTGTTTTAACATTAACACATTAATATCTCAGCATTTTATATATCCAAACCTATATACAAAGCCCCTGGTGTCGCAGTGGGTTAAACCAAAAGGTCAGCGATTCAAATCCAG